ACATACACATTTTATCACCGCGTTAATTATCTTATTTTTATAGCCAGTGACGCTAAAAATGTTATTCCGAGTCGATACGAATTGTTAAATCATTTATAAATGACCATCAATTTTTATCTCAGTCTTGTTAAATTAACTTGTCAATATTCCCAATATGGTGTCCTTTTGATCAACCAAAGACTTAAAACCAAAATCACTGATCATTTATATTTCAATAATTATAGAAACGCCGCGTGACTATTGTCGTAAATATTACTGATAATACACTCAGCCAACCAACAGCGTGCTAAAGCGTGAACAAATAAACGAATTAATTGCCGACAAGTGGTATTACAGCACATTTTAGTTTAACTATACATAATGAAGATAATTAAACTATTTGCTTATGCAAATGATGATGTTTATCTCGGACTGGGTTATACTGATGTGTCTCTAGCTCAAACGACTCGGAAAATAATTCTATCAGCTATCATGCCAGCTTAAAAATAGATCGCAGGTGGTTCTTTGTCACTGATTGATTGGATAACGCGATCAAGAGTCAATTCCGGTCGTAATTTTGATAATGGGATAATGTAAGTACATATATGGTGATGTTTGATGTATGTACTGAATTGTATTTAGTAATCTTCCTATAGAACTACAATTAATTATCTCGTCATTCGATTTGTTCTATGTAATTAAGGCGATTACAAATTGAGCAGATTACTGGGATGAATAATATGGACAATTATAAAAAAATGGATTAAGGCACCCGGATGAGAAAACATAAGATAACAGAAAAATAGCTACTTTTTTTTATTCATCGACTACGGTAAGGCCATTATTCACGGCAATTACTCCACCAAGTTTACACTAAACCTGATGAGAAGCAAAATATATGCAAACCACTTATATCCCGCTGTCTACTGTTGATATTTAAATATTGTCAAATATTCGGAGACCACGTCTTTCATTTATCTACAGGAACCTTCATAAATGATTACAAGCCACGTGACCAGTAATTTTGTTTGGAACAGTTCCTTCACCCTTCACGTTGGCAATTAAATTCCGGTGAAATTAAAACAATAAGATCAAGATTACATTAGAACACAATATTCTGTTTTACCGGCTGTGATTGGTGTAATTTTTCACGAGATTCTATTCAACTAATCGGCGATCGCGTTATCTCGTGAGGGTAACGGTTCGTCATTGTTCATTGTAAACGAATCATTAATATTGTATTACGCCAAGATTTGGGGATTTTTCGATACGTCTTTCCAAAGTCAGTTGAACATGTGTATAAAAAAACCGAGCAATCAAATTTAACGAGTTTCATAGGCGTCCCTAAAAAAGTTTTCTGCAAAAGATAAAAAATTATAATAATTTGTATATAATGTGTAGAAAGTTTCTATTATATGTTCATTTGACCAACAACATATTTTAATTATTTATGTCCTCAAACAATTTTATTATATTGATGGTAAATTTTGTTTTGTAATAATATTAAGAAACCAAATATCCCTCTTATTTCTCCCTTTCGCAATTGTAATATGAATGATTAATAGAAGGTGCCTATAATAAATTAAAATTAGCGAATCACACCAAATTCTGCATTGCTGCACTGCACTGCCAGGCGACTTGTCGACAACTGAAATTTATGACGCAGTCGACCAGAGCAACAGTGCGTATTGCTGTTTGCCCGCACGCTCATTCTTCAACTGGGCGTATACATTTCTACCATCTGCACGTTTAGGTCGATAGGAATGGGTATGGTTAAATAAATATGGGAACAAGTTTTTCAAATATTTCAATGCCGAGTTGCTGCGTCAACGACTGAACCTGGTACATACTGTCATCCTCTGGTTCTTCAATTGATATCGGAGACTATACCAATCGTGCAATGTTGGGTTGCCTAAGTTCAGCGGTCACATAACTTGTAAACATTTATGAAGGCTCTGTATGTTTTGTCGAGATAATAAATTTTCATTTTCGATGTAAATACGGCAGTCTATTATTTTTCTAAATACTTAGTGTCTTTGCCATATTACAATTTCGTTCTTTTCTATTAGCCTACTTTTTCGATATAGACCTATAATCTCACTAGGTGTTGACATTTCAACGGAAGTCAATTGGTCTAAATTGTAGAAAATAACCAACATACCTGCAAATTTAGTAAAGAGATGATGTTTAATTAAAGTACCCCGCACACATCTTATGACCTTAAGGAAATTGGTTTTTCGGTGAAATTTTCCGAAAAATTGATATAATGTCCCTTTTTATCTCTGATCAAAAGCCTTCATGGCCAAATGCCCATCTGGAGGCGGTAGGGCCCACAAAAAGGTTAAAAACAGTAAAAAATTGATTCACTCTCAAATATACACAAACACAAACAAATTGTCCTTTCCAGGGCAAAATGATGTGCAAAATCTGACTCGACAACCTCCTCGTGGTGCACATAGGGTAACTCTAATGTCAGCGGTAATCGTCGTTATTTTTTATTTGTGAGAGCATTTCAAAGATTTCTATCAAATATATGTCTTATTAAACATTAATGTGTCAAATGTACCATTATGTGTCAAAAAAGTTATATCAATTTTTCACTGTTTTTAACCTTTTTGTTGCCCCTAACGCCTGCAGATGGACATTTGGAGCTTCGTGGCCATGAAGACTTTTGATCAGTGAAAAAAAGGGACAACATATCAATTTTTCAGGAAATTTCACCGCCGAAAGACCAATTTGCATAAGGTGTGTGCGGAGTCCTTTGAACACCCCTAAATATTCGATTGTCAGCAACTGCGGTAGAAAATTGAAAACTATTTCTTTTGGGAACAAACTGTTTTAGAAGTATGTAACAATTAATAATTGTACTTTTTATACTGAAAAATCATTGAAAATATAATGTACATTATTTCTACTGTTCATAGTGATGTAATATTGATTTTTTATAAAAAGGCTAAAAGGATAATGAAGTTCATGCGCCATTGGTTTTTTGTATGTTTAGGATATTGTACTCTGTCTCTCTGAAATTAAGAAAATATATACTTAAATTTTTACAGCCTGTGTCTAGAGAACGAATTAATTTTCACTGTGGAAGCTATTGGTGACTTTTAGTCTATTAGTAACTGAACACCCTGTATATAAAACGACAATTCTCAAAATCTACATTTTTGATGACGTTTCTTGCTTATCCTAATCACTTGTTTTTGTTTTTTATCGGACTCATACTTCGATAATAAAAACCATCGCTAACATGCAGCTCATATGACCTACTTATTTTGTTTTGACAAAATAAAGATATCTGACTGACATCTAAAGTTTTTAAATCTGTATTCGAGGATGTGACTAAGGCAGAAATAGTGTTTTATTGAACTGGATCAGTCGGATAGAAATAATAACTGCACTTGACGCTGACAAACCACAAGAAAACAATTTACCCTCATTTTTTAAATGCTACGCATACTTATTGCTTTTCAACCGTAGACTTCTCTATACGGAAAACAATGGATATTTTATTACTATTAGCTGGCACAGCTGCGAATTAAAAACTGGTTTGACTGACCTCAAAAATTGTCCTTTTACCTGAAGATAGGAATATATTAAGATCAAATACAAGAAAGTATCAAAAGGTTCCTTGTTAACTTTACATATTATATTATAATATTTGATAAAACAGTTTTGATGCAACTTTAATGTGTGTTATTTTAAAATCTGTAAGGACAGTTTTACTAAAAGTACCTAATATAAAAATACAAAACATAATAGACGGGTTCAGATTAATTTTTGATATTAGATTTTTGTTAGAACTGATATTAAAACAACGTCTAGCATATCCGCCATCACAAAATTTATATTCATAGACTACATTTGCATTAGTCTAACGTGGTACAATTTTGGATCAAACCCGCCTACTGTAGTATGTATGAATAATTTTTTATAAATATCGTTGAACTGTGGCTTGACAAGTCGACTCCCACGAAACGAGAAAAAAAAATGTCAACGATCTTGCGACTATGCTAGTATTAATTTGCAGGTCTAGGCTCGAGACTAAAATAAGACAACTTGGCCTCTCCTAGTTCTGAGATGTTATGCAATCGGAAAATAGTGCAAGTCACATTAAATTCAAATGATCAAAATGGAGAAATATACTTAATGTCGCTGAAAATTAAAATACGTAATTTTTGCCCCCCGCTGAAGAATATTTTCCTATTTTGTAAAAGGAAATGAAGAAAAAACGGAGGCAATCGAAAAATATTTAAACAAATACTTACTATTTGTTAGATTAGCATACCCTACATTAGTTTATTTGTAAAAAAAAATCCTTTTTGCATATTATGATTTACTATTTTAAATACATACTTACTATAAGATTTGTATTTAACAATCTTAATTTTTGAATAAATTTCTCTAGGACTCAACCTATTTCTTCTTGTTTTAATATGTAAAAATTTCTCAAAAATTTCGTATGTTTAGATATAATTTTAACTCAAACAGGATTGGATTATCAAGATTATTTATTTAAACAAAAAATATATACTGCAACTGAATAAATGCATATGCATTTAAAAGGATTCGTCAAAATAACTCGGTTACAAGTTACGTAGGTACATTTTAATTGCTGCTTCATCTAAAAATGGAACAGATATTTTGCAAATACAAGTAGGTAGGTATGTATATTTATATAGGAATGTTTAGTCTAATGGAAAAACATGTCAATTCCACAATATGAGAAGTATTTCCTTCTAGAGAAAATTTGAATAAAAACACGAGTAAGTATAATAAAAATAACTGAAACCACTATAGGTAGGTACCTATTATAATATAATTAATTACCTAGGTATATTAAGTTCAAATATTAAGATTTCAATAACAGTATATGTGTTGGTTTAGATTCTAGATTTGAATTGCTGCATCAGTTCTAAGTCTGATAGATTCTAGCTCTTTTTAAATTATCACAACCAACAATAAATCATTGTTGGTTCGAAATTCAACCAGTTCTAGAAACAAGTACACGTTTTACTTACCTCCTTTACAAGGCGTTCTATGAGTGCTGTGCTGAGCTCTATACCCCTTAATGATTTCATACTCCCCATTATCCCTCTTGATTGGAAAAGCCACCTCAATAACGTGGTCGCATTGTTCCATGTGTGTTAGGATACCCTTAACTTTGGCCTTTCTCTGTTGCAAAGTTAACTTGGACCCTTTCACCTTCCCCAAATCTTCTACCAGTTTGTCTTCCACCAGCACACAAGCCTTGTGGAAGAAGTATTCCACCATGTCGAAAAACCTCGGGTTGGGGTTGGTGGGCATGTCTTTCAGTCTGTCGGGAATTACATGGTCCGCGTACGTGCGCCCTTGGGTGCAGGCTGCAGGTAGGGCTTTCAGCAAGGTGCCTATCTCGATACTTCGCGATTTCAGCGAGTTGATCTTTGTAAAATTCAACATTTTGGCGGATTTTCTAACGCACTCAGTTCACCACGACCGTTCTATAACCAAAGCGTTTCGTCTACCTACGCATTTATGTGACTTACAAAGCAATAAATGTGCAGAACTTACGTAATTTTTTAAAACTAGATGCACATACCGGTTACGAAGTAGAATCGCCGGATTCCTGCCGTGCTGCTATAAATTTCGAATTACTATAACACCTACTTGCACCTACAACTTACAACTAGGAATGATACTATTTGTCAGCGCACAGTCAATTTCAAGCGCGCATGCTGCTTGACACTTCCACGCACAGTCGGCTCGTCGGGGACAGAAAAGGAATTGTAACAATAAAATAAAAAATCCAAGAAAAACTGTTTGTAGCGGTTAACAGAGGTATTTTTTATTACTTATGCATTTATTTTTCAACTTACAGTGACATCTGAGGAGTGACATCTGTTACATTTATTTGAAATCATGCATTTCATATGCTAACTCTCATAGACCACCTAACTCTAGTTATATGTAGATACATAAGATATATAAAGAAAAGTGGCGACAATGGAAAATGGGTCCCAGCATATTGGTTGGTGCCGCCATTTAACGGCAGTTATCAGACTTGATTCATATACCTTTTACAAAGTTTTTCACGTTTGCGGTTATAAGTACATACTTGCGTCTATTTATATGTAAACTTACGCCAATATTTTTTATTAACATCTTATTTTATTTTAACATAATTCAATTAAAATCTAAAATTTCAGCTCAGCCAACACAAATAAAAATTTCAAAGAATTGTCAAGTTAATCAAATGTCAAATTTGTTATATCAGAACGCCATTTAACGGCAAAATGGTACACCTATTGACACCACGCACACCACAGCCTTGTGTTTAGCCATTGATTTTGTAAGCTATGTTTACTATGTTATTAGATAAGTCCAAGTAACAGCTGGCGCTTGCCTACAAATTTTGACATTTGTAGGCCGTCAGGATCCAGGAGATCGACGCCCTCAGATCCAACAAATTACGTATTTATCATAATTATCTATTACATATAATACTTTTACTACCCTATTATAAAAGTTTAAGTAATAATTTGCCTCTTTTTTAAGGCATGCTTTCTTAGATACGAGGTTGATCGCGCTGTTCCCTGGCCGTGGACGGTCTAACCTTCTTAAAATTGTGGGCAATGGGCAATTAGTCGGACTCTCTTGCCTCTTGTCCTGTGTTATGTGTATCCAATGGGACAGCCGTTAAATAACTGCAGCAATCAAAACATTATGACACCATGTCGCCAGTATCCTTTATTGTAATCAAGATTATTATATTTGCGCTGGATATAGGATAGTGGCGTTAATAGAAATAGTATAAATCTTGCCCATTTTCTCGTTAAATGGCAGTTTGGCATATCACCATATGAGTATTATGAGTATAGTATAATAGTTACCTACTTTTATGCATATCACATTTGACATTTGACGAATTTGACAATATTTCCGCCTCATTTTTTTTGTTAATATTTTAGTTGAATTATCTTTAAACAAAAAAGATATTATATAGTTAAAATAAGCTTAATATAAGTGAAAAAAAGTTTCTAAAATAATATTTAATTGTCGTTAAATGGTGACATCAATCAAAATGATTCAATACTTTCGCCACCGTCCTTTATAAAGCTACTGTATCATTCATTTATCTAAGGCTACTGTAGTCACTAGTCATACTGTAGTTTTTCCTACGAATAAAGAAAAACAGCGCCATCTCTTAAGTGGCTTAGTTTCGTAGTGAATAGAAAAAGATATCTACTATGCCCCTGACCTAAATTGAATTCTGCAATTTTTACACAAGAGTTCGGGTTATATAGGATTTCCCATAACTGTAAAAATAAAGTATAGTGTGATAAAGCTATTCTATATTTTGTCTAAAGCAGAATCTATACTTTTTTAAATGCAAAATTGTATAAAATATTCTACGGTAGTGTAATTTTCTAACACCAAATTTTCGGTTTAATTCTGTTTCGGTTTAATTGACATGTGTTACCATTAGGGTACTTTTATAGTTAATGAACGCATAGCGCATAAACATTAGATAATTACAATTTAAAATTTACCAATGAGAAGAAACTATGTGTTGACACTGTTGACGTATAAGCTGTCCTATCAAAGAGAGCTCTGTTCTTGGTTGATTTTGATCATGTTTTTGCATTAATTTGTTCGTGAGGCAGAAGCCTTAGGTGAAAGTTATAGTGTTGAAGTTTGAAGTCAAGTGTAGCAATGAGGTTATGTGAGGTGGAGTAATCGTTATGGAAAATGGAAATATGGAGTAATCCATGATTTGTCAAGTTCTTAACAAACGGAAATATTTCTTTGCACTAATGATAAGAAATGGACATCACAACATTATTTAAAGCCTGCGTGAAGACTGTCCGTACTACAAACAAGTCCTTGGGTGTGAAAGAACATAAGCAAAATGTGCTTGGTCGAACACAAAAAGATGTTCATCTTGCGAAGGCTAAGGAAGTCGTTAAGCAAATTACGAATTTGCAAAACTTTTTCCTGGAGAATAAAGCTGCTTACCTGAATGTTATAAACTATTTATCCACAAACAAAACCATGACAGAGGTAGATCGGGCTGAGATAGATACCATGGCAGAGAATATTATTAGTCGGTGTACACACTTGATAACCGAATACAAAAAAGAAATAGCGGGACTTCCGAAAAGTAAACAGAAGGAGGAACATTACCAAAATGTTATAGAAACGTTAGAACGATACCTGAAGTGTGTATCTAAAATTTATACAGAAGCTAAAGCGGTTCGAGTGAAAAGAGTAATAGAAACTCATAAACTCTCAAAACTGGAAACTAAACCCAGCAATCATCGTGTTGAAAATAATGAAAAACTTGACAAAACAAGTTTAGAAACTAATTCCGAAGAGCCTCGCATTCCACAAAGTCCTGCTGTAAATTATGATGAGGAACTTTCTACAGAAGAAATGCAGATGTTCGAATCTGAAAATGACCTTCTGTATAACGAGTTAAACAGCATTTCAGATGAAGTGAAACAAATGGAAAGCAAAGTAGTGCATATTGCAGAATTACAGGAATTATTCACTGAGAAAGTCCTTCAACAGGAAAAAGACATAGAAAGAATAGCTACAACAGTGGTGGGTTCGACAGAAAATGTAAAAGATGCTAATGAACAGATTAGGCAAGCCATTCAAAGGAATGCCGGGTTAAGGGTTTGGGTTCTATTCTTCTTGTTAGTTATGTCGTTTTCATTGTTGTTCCTAGATTGGTATAACGATTAGTTAAATAATGTTTGCAATTAGAAGCTCTTAAGTATTTGATACAGATTTTGTATATTTTTTTGTACAGTTTGTATGGTGTTTGGTGTATTTTCCAAAAAACGCAGTCTTGAAAATAGTTATATTCCTTTTTATTCGCATTAAACATAAAATTAATGAAATATCATTTATAAAATTTAATGCTGTTAAAAGATGTAATTTAGATATTTATAGAATATACATGTTAATGTATTGTTTTCAAGGGGATAAAGGAAATAAATTTTCAGAATACATTAGAAATAATCGTCTTATTGTTTATATTCTTTAAAAATAATTACATGTTACTCCATGTAGTTAGTGCAATTAATAAAAATATTATTTAAAAAAAAAATAAATTTAAAACAAATTTTGAATAAACGTAAAAGGGAATAAAATGGAAATATAAAGTAAAACAATTTAAAAAACATTCTTTAGTATTTAGTCACAGTTGCCTTTATGGGAATTTTGCATAACATGTCTGTGAGATAAAAATGTACAAGGTAAGGCTGATGACTATTGGAAATTGTCTGTTATTTACAATTTGTAGTAGTGCAGGCATATCTTAAGTTATTATCAATAATAGAACGGATTACAATATTCTATTCTGAATAAGAGATAAAGATATTACAACATTCCAAGTATACAGAGAATATATACAGGACTGGAAAATCCACATGGTCCATCTGCCTTTACATGAGAGTGACAAAGTCAAGTAAATAAATCCGTGCAATAGACAAGGATGGCTATAATGAAAACGTTTCATAATCTGAATAGTCACCGCCCGTTTCGGGTTAGAAGTGGGAGTGACTATTCAGATTATGAAACGTCTTCAATGTAACCATCCTTGTCTATCACACGGATTTCTGTGACTTTCTTTATCGCTCTCACGTAACTGCCGATGTACCATGGGGACTTTCCGAACCTGTATGTCTAAAACTATTTACTTACAATTCTTTTAACAAAATGGAAGGTATGCACTGTTTATTATTCTTAACATAGAGGTAATGGTATGTATGTTTTAAGCACTCCCTTAATTGTCTTTCATAAATAGCAAGCATATACATACTTCATATGCCGTTGATCTACCCTTAAATCATAAATACTAACAGATTTCTCTTAATATATCAACAAACAAAGCTGTCCATGGTATTTTAAGGTTAATCACAAGAAACTTAGTTTGCAATAATTGATTAGTTATTTATCCTATTATCAGAATTGTGACTAAAATTTCATCTCGTTATGGAGCAGTTGAAACAGCGAACTAGTACAAAATTGGATGACATGAGACCTAGATAAAGGTCCGACAGCAGTTTTGGGTTAAAAAAAATTAAAGTATTGTCCATCACTAGCTACTGATTTTTCCTATTTTTCTGGCAGTATTTTAATTTCACGTCGGGAAAACGGCATGTCTTTTAGACTATCCAAGAATCGACCCAAATTTTTGGCATCTTAAGAATAAGAGTGTTGCACAGCAAGGCCATGTGCCATTAATCGGAACAAGTGATAATAGGAAGGGGCAATGTCTGGTGAATGTTGCTTCCCATTTAAGCATTTCCAAGCAGGTCTTTGTCTTTGTCATGTCTCTGCTGGTATAACGGCTGTTTTTCCTTCAATGCTCGGCTCAAACGCATCAATTGTAGTTGATCTCTCGTAATGCTTTCATTCGGATTGAGCAGTTCATAATAAATGCATGACATGAAAAATATTGACACATGACCAGGCTTACCCCACCATTTTCTACGTTTTTCAATTTTCGATCAAACAACATTTCATTTTCCGCTGTTGAACGAGCTGTTCATACGTACAAAGATGTCGTTCGATTTCTCTCAGCCTCAACTTGTACAGCACCCAATGTCCTTGTTTCGAAACTGTTGTGTGATCAACGCCTAATGATGTTGCAAGTTCAGTTAGTGTCTGATATGAGTTTTCAAGAAGTAAAGCCTCCAATTCTTCATCTTTAAACTGTTTTGGTGCGCCAGAGCATTTTAAACAATGGACCCCGCAACTGTCCTTATGGAAAACCGGTTCTGGTCGAATGGTACAAAGCTTTGCTGAATGATAGTCCTCAATGTGTCAATCAATAAAGTCCATGGGACCTAGGTCTGAAAAGTTACTGTTCTGCTCGATGAGCATCAAGTCCAATGATTTACGGGCAAGTAAAAGCAAATATTTCTTTATAAAGTGACCAAGCTGTCTGTTTCTTGATGTATTTTTGTGTGCTGAATGCGAATCCGTGGTGAAAATACCTATATCATCCTTCAGTCTTCTGAAAATCAGTGAAGCACCTACTAAAGAACAGCAATAGCGACACGTACTGCTTGAGCAACACCCTATGTTTTTACGCATGATGAACACTTATCCGTCATCAGCATATCTGCAACATTCCTCAGTATTCAGAAAATAGTTGAAGCATCTTCAGAAAACTTGAATTGATGGTCATCGAGCACATGGATTCAATAACTTCAGAAGGCTGTAGCTTCACAACAGTAGTTTTTCAGACCTAGGTCCTATGGACTTTTTTGATCGACACATTGAGGACTATCATTCGACAAAGTTTCGTACCATTCGACCGGGACTGGTTTTCCATAAGGATAGTTGCGGGGTCCTTTCTGCATTGCCATAACTCTCAACAAAAATTCTGTATGCTTCAACTGATTTCATTCGAATAAAATACTGCAGTAAAATTCTGCACAAATACTCTTTTTTTGGCACAAAATTGGACATGTTTACACTATGGAAAAATAAGTAGTTTACACTTTAGCAAAATAACATACACTGAATTTCAATCTTGCTTATACTTCTTTATAGGTGTGTTACTATCTTAAACTACACACTTGCAGTTCTGGTAATGGCATCTGTTGTTTTATTCATTTTATATGTCGACAATACATCAAGTGTCACAAAACATATCGCTTATACAGCTTATGCTGATGACTTTTCAATGGTTTTATCGTCGAGAGATTCAGATGCATTGAGTATAGTAGAACCGCAGAGGCAGTGGGCAGAGTCTCACAGTTCTTTAACAGCATCAATTTGTTTTTTAAAGTGGTCAAAACTGATATTTTAAGAATACATAATTATCAAAGAACTATCGAAGATATACAGGGTGTTCCGAAATTCATGCAACAAAATTTGGTCACAGATTCTTAAGACAAATTTAGGGGACCTGTATTTTTTATTTTTGTCAAGTTTTTGGAGTTACAGCCCCCTGAAGTCCGCCCCTAAGAATAATCTTTTTTTTTTTATATCTCAGAAGCCTGTTGTACAAGAATCACTAAATTTGCTACACAGGAGTTTTATGACATGTGGAATCTGATGGTGCTATGTTTTTTGACGGGGAACCCCCTTAAGACAAATTTTTGTGGGCCCCCTTGTCTTTGGAGCCATCGCTTATTTAAATTTCTTAAAAATTATTAGTTCACCAGAAAGCCATTAAATTTAGAAACTTTTTCTCTTTATACTTTTTTCGTAAAACGCAATGTTTTCAAGAAATATGTCAAAATGTGATGAAATGCATATCGTGATTCGCCATTTTCCTCAATTTATGTAACAAATATCAAGACAAAAAAGTTTCTTTTAATGGCTTTCTAGCTAACTAATAATTAAAAAAAAGTGTAGTTGCGGCAGCATATCACACACACATGTAAAATAATAATAAAAAATCTAATATTGCAAAAGCTGAGACTTTATCGACATGTTTATTATGTTATAAACAAACGAAAAAACGCAATTAGCTGACTTTAGAGCTTGTCACCAAATAAGTCAAAAATATGCGCTAGGTAAACTGATAAACTTGTCCGCTGAAGTTTTTGTGGTGTATAAGTGATCAGCTGACGAGTTGAAGGTGCAGCCCATCGTTATGCGCGCGAGCGTGTTACATCTTTGACTTTATAAGCTGAGCACTTTTCCTTCACTAAATATAAAGCTGAACATTTTTTTCATTTAACTTACTAAGTTAGCTATTGTATTACCAAATTTCAGCTTTTGCGGTATGAGATATGTATTATTTTTTCATTTTTTAAGTTTTACTAGTAATTATATAAAAATATACAACTTTTTTCGAATATTTATTTACAATAAACGTTATGTATGAAATAATTTATCTATTATCTATTTCATATTCCGATTGAGAATTGATGGCAAATTTCTGAAAAAATATCAAAATGGGAAATCCAGTGGCATACCATTTTTGTTTATTAAAAAAGGTTGTGGCATTCCCACACGAACGCCACTGGTGCAAGTAGAAATATTCGGATTACCTCAAACACACATTTATCCCTCCAAAGTGTTTTACTAAGTTCGAACCAATATCTTTAAAAGTCTGAAATAATTAATAAAAATAAATAAACAATTTAAATTTAAACACCTTGTATCTCGGAAACGAAGCATATTTCGACCTACATTTATATGAACGTACTTTCGCAAAATAATTTCAGCAACCACCCACTAAAATATTTCGCACTTATTTACAAACAGCCTGTATGATAATAATATGTAATAATAATAATTATTATTATTATTAATATTACTATTATTATATATTATTAAAAAAACGTTAATTATAAAAAATAATTACATATAGTACGATTTTTTTTTAATATTTTTAAATTGTATTTTACATATGTAAATGAAATAATAAAAAAAAATTACACTTAAATAATGAAATTTTAGTATGTACCTATAGAGCGAAATATATTAGTATAATTCTAACCTGCATTATTCTTTTGCTCATCGTTGATAATTATACAGGGTGATTCAGAACTTATCCAAAAAAAAAATTCTGGATGTACAGGGGTCCCTTACAAATACAATTTTGTAAAGAAATAATCAAAAAGGGCAGTTCGAAAATGATTTAAAAATACACTTCTACACGGCACTGGAAACTGGTCCACTGTAAAACCTGAACTAGCACAATGCGATTGGCATGGCGGTGTGATAAAAACTGACAAAAACTTTCGCAAGGAAAGAAATATGTAAATAGAATTTTATCGCACCTATTTTATATCGGCAAATTCAACTGCTTTTGCCTTTATTAATTAATAAAATTAATTTGTGTTTTTAAATAATAAAATCATTTTACATACCCCATGTTACAACAATTGTTCAAAATTTTATCCACAATGTGTAAACACATTTGGGTCCGTTTTACTCAGTTTCTACGAACTAACACAAATGTTGTCTTGTTTCACCATAACACAAATGCTTCACCATAAATTAAAACGATATCCATCAACTCCGAGTACACGTAAACCATTTTTGACACAAACTACCCTTTTTTGACACTAACTACTAAAAACTAACTGTAAACACCACAGATAGGTAAATATCGCAACGACGATTGCAAAATCGGAATTCAGTATTCGGAGTCGCTGAGGCCACGTGGCGAATGACGCTAGAGACTACAGTTGTCCAGCTATGTAATGGTTGAATGTACTATAACTTCAATATTTTTTTTCTCAGAAACTATAAGGATTTTACAAAATTTTTTTTTTCGATATTGATTCCATTTCTCATGCTGCATCTATTTCCAAATTTTTTTGGATAAGTTGTGAATCACCCTGCATCTCCAAGGGAAGAGAGAAACATTTGAAAATAAATTTGTCCACCTTCAACTTGTCAGCTGAGCACTTATACACCGCAAAAACTTCAGCGGACAATTTTTTTCGTATAACTGATTAAGATGACAATTACTTTACCAAATTTCAGCTTTTGTGGTATCATTTCACCTCGCGCATATTTTTGACTTATTTAGGTGAAGAGAGGTATAACCCCCCACTCTAATCAGCTAATTGTGTTTTTTCTTTTGTTTATAACATAATTAACTTGTCGACAAAGTCTCAGCTTTTGCGGTATTAGTTTTTTTATTTTATTATTTTACGTGTGTGGAAGACTGCTGCAGCTACGCCCTCGGAACTACGCGAGCTGGAGGTCGATTCACTTACCAGTGATACCAAATGAAGCATAGGAAAAATATTCAGCTTTTGCCAAATGACTGACTCAAAACGGTTTCTAGCTCCCGGACTATTAACCAATGTGTAAATCTTTGAATAAATGTTGCAAGTTTTTTGTGATTGCGAACGTATAGAAGTTTGCGGAGACTCGGTAGTAGGCAAATAAAAGAAATGCAGTTTACAGAAAAAATAAATTTATTTCATAATAAAAAACGAAAAGCATATATTTTAAATAACTTTGTAATATAAAGAAATACTTTTTATGTAACATTAAACATATTTTGACTAGTAGGGCTTAACATTAAAAGTCTAATAACATAAAACAAATTTATACTGTACATACACCTATCGTTAAGTGAAAAATCACATAGCAAATACTTAGAGTAGCAAATAAAGGTCTCATTCTTTGTTTCCTTTTGTAAAATGTAACAATATCTTACAAAATTTTCATAACAACTGAAAGAGTTGATAACATGTGCATATCTTACAATAACTTAAAAAAAATTGGTTTTCTCAGACCGGGCACATCGGAATCAAATCGGAGGACATTCCCGGAAAATTTACACCGAACACAATTTTGTACTAAAACGAGGAAAAATTCATAAAATGCAGTTTCTGGTAGAAATAACAATTAGAACAAAATACTATTACCCGCAACGTGAAATTAATATTTTAATTATCGTTAATTTTTCCGTTCGATAATCGCTATTTCCTAAATTTTGTAGTCTTTTCTCATTTCAATATTACAATTCATAAATGACTTGTAGCAGTTTTCTTGCAATGTAATAATTAAAAATGGAATGTACTACACATATTAGAAATTTACAGTTGGCAATCGTCAATTTGGCTGGTTGTATCTAGAAAATAAGTGACAGTTGGCAATTGTAAACAAATATTAAAATGTTTTGTGAGGTTCTATCCAATGAAGCGGACGAAATATACGAGGTCTGTCCCAAAAGTATCCCACCTTCCTACAAACCTTCGCTCCTGAGAATTTTAGTGCCCTCTGCCGGGTACGAGTGTCAACTGTAAAGCTTCACGAACTTTCCAAACATATACAGGGTGTACGGAAATTATGAGAAAGCATTTGAATGTATTTTCTTAAATTAATATTTTATCATACTTTCTTTTCAGTTAAGCAATTTCTTTATCAAATTTTAATGTCTATAAAAAAATATAAAAGCCTTTCTTATTTGCAATTTTTCAAAAAATTAAACAGATTTCATATATTAAAAAAAAATTATATTGAATTTCGAAATTTGCACTTTTACACAATTTACATTTCTTTTCATACCGTTAACAAGTTAAGAGGCATAAAATAACATTGTGTTGTTAGATTTCAGAAAAAAAATTAGAAATTAAAAATAATTATATCAATTATCGATTAATCCAGTAATTTGCCCTTTTGCAAAATTTAAGTTTTTTTTTTGCACAGTTAAGAGTTGTAAAATAACATCGTGTTGCTAGATTTTAGAAAAAAAATCGCTATTGGACTTAAAAAAAAATTATATCAAATTTTGAGGAAGTTATATAAACACACAACAAAGAATATTTAAACTTCATTCGTTTTTAACTTATTACGTTAATGGCCAGTACACCTATAAACAGCGACACCCTGTATACTTACCATTTCTCAACCCAACCGTCTTTTGTTTTTACATATATTATTTCATGTGGGATAGTAAATTTTCACTCGCTGACGCCTGGTCCCCTTAAAACAAACTTCCGATATGCCCGCCGTGAAATCGCCTCCTCATGTAAAGCTTAAGTAGCAAAACGACACTATCCTCACAAATTAATGGTGTCCAAGTCCTGCATGGGGGCCCGTGTACCGCTACTACTGCCGTCCTGTGAGTGCGGGGTGGTGCTCGTGTGGTTCTTGTGCCCCGAACTACCAGAGTTCATGTTCAACTTATTTATAATGTTGGGTATGTTGAATTCGGGATTTGGCAACTTCCGCATGATCTTGCCGGATGTTATAAGCCGGCCGAAACCTTCCTGGTGCGCGAACGCGTACCCCGACCGGATTGACCGCCTCGCCCTCCTCGAAGAGGGCATCCGGAGCGTGTCCTGGCTGTGGCGGGACCGCACCTGCGCCATCCTCTGCTTCAGCCGCACCCTGTCCGAGAGGGTGGGGAACACGTCCACGAAGTAGAACCGCCAGGCGAGGACGGGCATCACTGAGATTATGACCACCAGGACGGCGGTGAACCAGAAGTTGGCCTCCGACATGGCCTTGGTTAGAGAGCCTACGTAGGGGCCGTTGCAGATGTAGTTGTAGAAGTTGTCGGCCACGAAGTAGAACGCCAGGGAGCCCCAGATCATAATGTGATTGAAGACGGTCCAGTACATCGTGTCCAGTGCAATCTGAAATTAAAAAATACAACATATATATTAGTTGCAGAATCAGGTTGCTGCTGTTCCAGTGAATCCCAATTGTGAGAAAATAAATTTGAAATCAAACCAATGGGGAAAAGAGGAGAACACTGCCAATTGAGTTCATTTGTAGGGAAAATTGGAAAAGTGTAAGCCTAAATGGTATAAATTCAATCCAAAATCTAAAGATGGTTAGTTACACAGATTTTGAAGTACTACTTATTGCTGCATATAAAAAAAATTAAAACACATTACAGTTATGTTACAAAACTAATTTATACAGGGTGTTCCAATTAAAACTTCCCACCTGGAAAAATCGGAATTAAAAAAACCCAAAAAAAAAACCTGATACGTTGATTTTCTTTTCAAAGGGGCATAATGGCATAAGTTTTGGTGCCTTGGAAACTACCCCTTAGGCAGGGCACCCTATATTGAGTGACACCTCACTTTAAAGCTTTTTCAATTCTGCTTACGGCGACATACGACTTTTTAAATTTTTGTTTGGATATGACAATAAAGATGATAATAAATTTAAAGAAACTAAATTTATTGCAAATGAAAAGTTGTAAGGGTTTAGTATTTGTTGGAGCTCCTAATGACATAATTTGGTTAGAAAATATTCGCTAGTTTACGAGAAATAAAATTTTCTTCGAGAAACTGTTTATGGCTAAAAACTTTTTTTTTAGATCAAAACGGTTATTTAAAATATGTCATTAGGAAATTTGAGGTTTTCTGAAGGTACTTTAACAAAATTCAAGTCTAGAAATGGTTTAAATGCATCATATTTGAAAATCGTAAGAATTCACCGACATGGAAAACTGAAAATTATTTACACAGTTAGATTGCAGTTATGTTTGGGTATTTTGCAGTAATTAGTTAGTTATTGATAATAGTTTTTAATAAGTTGATGGTGTAGTGTTTAATATAAACTATTAATTTGCAATAATAATTTTTATAGTGCTAACCAAGACAATTAAAAAATTTTATTTTGAAAACAAACTTTGAACGCGATCTTCAAGCAGAGCTATTAAGTTTATCATCAAGAAAAAGACTTAAAGAAAACAGGTTAAATATTAAATTTCTAGTTTAACTGATTGTATTCACTTCAAAAAGGATTAAATTTATTGTTATTGTTGTATAACAAATTGTTGTGATTGTTAGAAAAGCGACTGGAAATTTTCAGTATCTATCGAAATCTGATTTTAATATTTTTGTAAACTTGACAATTTTTTTTAAAATTAAATGTTATGTCAAAAGTTCTGTGAGAATAACTTTTCCTCCTCTTCCTTTCATTTTATTCCTCCATTTAACTCCGAACACTGAAAAAAAAAAACTCTTTCAAGGCTAAAAACTACCTATTGTATAGGTTACTTGTAAAAACTTAAGAATTTTTTAATTCGGAACATCAACTGTAAAAGGATAAATATGATAACTGTAGTTGATACGTACAAAAATAAATTATGTTGCAGCCTATTATAAAGATTTAAAGTACTTTTGTAAGTTATTTGAAATTTAACTAGACAAAAGCAGATACAATAAGATCATATAAATTGTACACAATTTATATTTTGGAGGCAAAGAGAATATTGTAACATTTTAGACTCAAATTACCCGTTAATTAATCATAATCATAACTGATTAAATTCATTATTTCATGTTAAAAGTAGCGTGGTACAAAAAAAGTAACAATTTTAAATTTTCCTTTTATTTTCTTATAGGATATGCAATGAGTCAGAAAAAGATGATGGTTGAACGAAGATAAACTGAGGAATTTGGTGACGTATGTTTTTTTATTGGCTGATTGACTTATGCGGCGACCGTTTCTTTACGGACCGCGAATTGTTATTCACCTGCCCCATAGACAGAGTTGCTAAATGCAGCGATTTATCGCCATTGTGGCGACATGACACTGTACTCTAATAGCTGCCAAAATTTCACATAGCAACTAACGAATTTTATATATTTATACGACAGTAGTAATTATTTGTATAGTGTCACTTGTTTAAAGATAAAATATAAAATTTCCGATTCGAATCTGCGTTGAAATATTTTCTTTGCAGTCCAATTTGTATTTTGTTACTCTTTTATGTCTGATTTTTAAATATTTTTTAAATATAGTAGTAAAAAAGCACATTTTTGAAAAATTTAAAAATATTAATTATATTTCGATACCTTTTTTCGTTTATTATAAGCCCCTTTACCATTTCCACTTATAAAAGTCTAGGTAACAATTTTCTTTTTTTTTCCTCTAAATGAGTTATTTTGATCGGTCTAATAAATGTATTACGAGTTGAGATTAATTCCACGGTATGCTTGCGACACCTTTTGTTCAAAAATTTACTTTATATTATACTACCGCTGTACAGAGAGGTTCTTATCCTAGCTATATATTGCAATTTAATAATTTTAAGTGATGCTAGCGCCAAAAAATCCCTGTGGGAGAAATCGCCGTCTTAAAGAATGTTATTTTATTAAATGTTCAAATTCCCTCCACTTCCGTACAATAATAAAATCTTTGCTCCACATCCGAATGAACAATTGCTGAAAAAGTGGAAATAATTAGTTTGTTCGATGAGAATAGTTACTGTGCATAGCAGGCCGTACAGATTTTTAATGATTGTTATCCTGACAAAAACACTTCGAATCGGTACATCTTGGATTTAGTGCATAAATTTTCGGAAACTGGATCGGGTGCAAACAAAAAGCATCGATGTGAACAGGTCGTATATAATGAATCACATCACATCACATTCATCATTCTGGATCACATCACAATGGAAGCAAATTTGAGTCTCCAGAAGCTTACAAGTACTTCAGGAATTTCTGTACGTAGTTGCCACCAAATCTTAAAAATTCATAAGTATCACCCATACAAAATTAATTTGGTACAAAAACTTAATGAAGACGATCCTAATCCCCGCTTGCAGTTCTGTGAAGAAATGAGTGATCGTGCTCGAAGGAATCCAAATTTTTTGTACTCAATTTGTTTTTCCGATTAATGTACGTTCCAACTGGATGGTTGAGTCTACCGCCATAATTGACACTACTGGAATGATGAAAAGCCACGCAGCATCCCAGGAAATTGAATGTTTGGGCAGGCATACTGGGAGACCACCTCATAGGGTCTTCTTCCTATCGGAAATCTGGGTGGAAAATATCTATCCGATGATTATCGAAGTATTGAAAAATGACAACAATTTGCCAGAAGAAGATGTGTGGTTTCAGCAAGATGGTGCTCCACCACATTATGCCATAGCTGTGCATGATTTTCTTAATCAGAATTTTCCAAATTACTGGATAGGATGCAGAAGTTCAATTGAGTGGCCTCTCAGATGGCCAGATCTAACGTCCTTAGATTTTTTTCTATTGAGACACTTTAAAGATTTTATTATTTATATTTTGTCTTATTCTTTAAGTGATTTTATTGTCACATCCAAACCAAAATATAAAAAGTTGTATGTCGTCGTGAGCAGAATTGAAAAAGCTTTAAAATGAGGTGTTACTTAACATAGGGTCTTTTAAAATTTTACGCCTTTTAAGGGTATTTTACGCCCCTGTCTAAAGGATAGTTTTCAAGACACCAAAACTTACACCATCACGTGTCTCAGGTTTTTTCATTTTTTTTTTAATTCCGATATTTTCCAGATTGGAAGTTTTAATTGCACACCCTGTATACATTTTTATTTTACAAATGCAGATTTTTCTAATTTAAAAATTTATTTAGTAAATTTGAGCCTTCCTCACCTGAGCCGTGTTAACGATGACTAGCATTGCGGCGGTAGCACTGCAGAACAGCATATAGTCCGACAGGCCCTGCCCATTAGGAGCAACCGCATCAAAATAGGTACCTAGACAAAAAAATTTATTTGCAGCCTATAATCGATATATAAAAACTTACCCAGTGGAATGAAAAATAGTACGGCCGACACAAAACAACCCTGTAGAGCACTGCGGAAAAACTCCTTTTTGTTAAAAAACTTGTTGTAATGTCCTGGCCTGTAAAGTTGGGGATACAAGACACTGTTCTTATCGTTGACGTCTTGATCGAAGATACCCACGCCCAGGACAGGCAAGGATGTATAAAAAAGATTGTATATCGATATATACATAGGGTCGAATACAGTCTGGAAAAAAAAAACAGCTTAGAAACTTGTACCCCGAAAGCGTGCAGTTTTTCCACATACTTGGGCGCTGAATCCGCAGAAAAAGGCGTACCAGAAATGGCACAGAGTGAATGCAAAGTTTTTGTTGAAAAAATATCTCAGAAAGCTACACATACGGTAGTAGGACCATCTACCATGTACCAGAAGTAGCCTCTCCAAGAAACAGAATTGGGCTATCGAGTAGTCCGAGGCAAGAACCGCTTGCATCCCCTCTTGGCCGGAGATGCCAACCCCGATATGGGCAGCTGAAAGCGTGAATTTGGTTAGTAAATACAAGGCGGTTCAATTTCCTTCATCAAATTTTAGGCACACGTCATATCTAGCTCTAACTAACCTTTGATCATAGACACATCGTTTGCACCGTCACCCACCGCCAAAGTGACGGCATTTCTATTCTTCTTGATCAGCTCTACGACCAAGGCCTTCTGCAAGGGGGTGACCCTGCAGCATATAACCGACTTGCACTGCAGGACCACCTCCAAGAACAATCTCTCCAACTGAGGGTGGAGGCAGTGCACCAAGGAATTTCCGTTTATGATGATTGCAAAACCAGCAGGGGATTCTTCAATCGGGTGTTCTGCTACGCCACCGTGGTACTCTAATTCAGTACTATAAAAATTTTTACAGAAATAAAAATTAATATATATCATGTAAAACTTAAAACAATTAATATATAAATAACCCTAAAAAAAATTAAGATGGGTCGTCTTGCTGACAACTGTAAGGCTTTTACTTCGCATTAAAGTTTGATGTAATTTTTAAATGGAGCTGTCGATTTTGATAAACAGAACCTCGTAAAAGAATGCTTTTTAAGACTTAAGAGTTGTTTTCAAAACTGTTGAAAATTTCTCTCAATTTTCTACGATTTCTGATCACGGAAATATAAGTCAACAAAGAAGTGTAAAATGTCTTTGCGCTCAAAATTTTTACAAAGCCTGTTAGATTTGTCTTTCAATCAGTGCTTGGTCCATCTCATTAGGTTCATTTGTTTCATGTTTTAGTTTCATTTCAATTTCTGAGATGACGCCCACCTTCATGAAAGTCATATAAATCAACATCAAAATGATATCTTGTGATAAATTACATCTAACGCACATTTGGATTGGTATCCAAATGAAAGAGCATAATTTCTTTTTTAAAAATATGATGGAATATCCAGATGCATATCATTTGATGTGAGGAAAATGAATGAAATGATTTTAGAATTATTAGCAGTTATTTACCGATATAAAATTTAGTTACATTCGAAACAGAAGGATAGTTCGTAAGTATGACATTTAAGTTCTAATGGGTTTTCCTTCATGAGTAACTTCAGTTAATTAACTTTTTGTTACTAATGTAGTAATATTTAAAAAACTAAATCCCTCATTTCATAGCAAAATTAACACTACTAAACATAGACTTAAATTGAAAAGTTGTTTTTCTAAGAAATAACTGATCTGATTTGGACTATCTTTTATTGGGTTTATTCCTTAGTAACGATGCTAAAATCGAATTTTTTCCCTGAAATAAAAAATTTTCAGCAATATGCAAGGTATATGAGAAAAGTTTTATCCCCAAAATTTGAAACACTGTAAAACTGTGGTTTCACCTTTGTTTCTCTCGTGTGTGTTTTTTCCAAATAAATATGTGGTTCATTTTATAGATTTAGTTTAACCTAACCAGAAGCTTCTCGCTTACAAAATAATCAATACAACATAGTTAACTTTTTGAAAAATTCGACTTTTGTTTATGTAAAAACTCAAATTGACAGTTTTTATATATTTTCTATGATTCTAAACACATACGAGGTGTGTCCCAAAAGTAGCCGACCTTCCTTCATATTTCCCCGTTGTTGTTATACTGCGTCATTGGGCTGGTGGCATCCTGCGAAGTAGTCCGCATTTGATTGAAGAATACGTTCCCAAAAGCCATTCCACTTTTGGAAGCAGTCCTGGAACTCGTTGTTTGGTATCGCCTTTAGAGCCTTCGTCGTATTAGTTTTGACTGTTTCTTTGTTGTCGAATCGGTATCCTTTGAGCGGCATTTTTAATCTTGGGAACAGCCAAAAGTGGCAGAGAGCTACGTCAGGACTGTACGGAGGCTGACGAAGCTGTACAATATTGTGCTTTGTCAAATATTGCTGCACGAGGCTCGATGCATGTGCTGGCGCGTTATCGTGATGAAGAAGCCAGTCACCGCTTGACCATAGTTGATGCCGTATTCTTCTAATTGCGTCACGCAATGTTTTCATAACTTCAAGATATAATATTCTTTGTTGATTGTCTGATCTTTAAGAGCATATTCGTGGTGCACAACATCCTCATAATAAAAAAAAACAATCAGCAATGACTTGATATTGCTCCGACTTTGGCGTGCTTTTTTCGGTCGTAGCTCCGACAACAGCTACCACTGCAAAGACTGTCGTTTTCTTTCGGGATCATAACCATAAACCCACGATTCATCGCCAGTTATAATGAATTTTGCACACATGCGAATCATTTGTAAATTTTCAGTTAAAATCTTCCAAACGCTAGTTTTCGGTAATCCAAGATCACATTCAGTTCTCGCACAGTTAATCGACGATCTTCATTGATCGCAAGTCGCACACGTTCGATATTATCCGGTGTTTTTGTCGCTGTAGGCCGTCCAGAATGTGGGTTACTATTAACAGATGTGTGGCCATCTTTGAATCGCTTATACCATTCTTTTATTTGTGTATTGCTCATACATTCGTCCCCAAATGCCGTCTTCATCATTTCGATGGTCGCCGCACAACTCTTTTCAAGTTTAAAGAAAGCAAAATTTAATGTAAATTCGTTGCTCCGATCTTTCAGTCATTTTATACACTAGCAAAATGCGACGAATGTAAAAAACTCTTTGTAAACAAATACACTCCGCATGTAAACTAAAGCGTCCCGATGAAAACTGCGGCATTTAGGAAGTTCGTGAAGCTTTACAGTTGATACTCGTACCCGGCAGAGGGCAGTAAAATTCTCAGATGCGAATATTTGAAGGAAGATCGGATACATTTGGGATAGACCTCGTATAACACCGTTTAGTAAAATAAATACAATTTTTTTCTTATGCCATCAAATAATTTGACTGTTTTTGATTCTTCAAATCCTTTTATAATACAGTCCCGATTCTAACATTTAAAGGTCTTGAAGTTTTGCCAACATAATGAGTTTTTAAAATACTTATACATGACATATTACTGACTTGAAATACTGTCCTAATATTAAACTTATTACAAATTCTTATGAATCTTATTTAATTTTTGAACATTTGTCCCCTCTGAGCAATTTTTAGTGTCTTGTCTACCTACACAGCCTTCATAAATGTTTACAAGCCATGTGACTGTAGAGTTTAGGCAAACCAACATTGCACGATTGGTACTGGTAACGAAAAATCCCGAAAACTTGGCGTCATCAATATTGATTCGTTTACAATGAACAATGACAAACCGCTACGTCTACGCACGAGAAAATGCGATTGCCGATTGGTTGAATATAATCTTGTGAAAAATTACATCAATCACAGTCGATGAAATAGAATGTTGTGTTTTAATGTAATCTTGATCTTATTGTTTTAATTTTACCGCAATTTAATTGCCATCGTGAAGGAAATAAAATTACTGGTTACGTGGCTTGTAATCATTTATGAAGGTTCTGTATATTGTTACTGATTTGTCTAGTGTTATTGCCTTGTTATAAGTTTTAAAATTTTAACTATTTATTTCAATTAATAACAGAGATGGTAACTTGAATCAAAAGACGAATTCTTCAGAAAAGATGGTGACTATAGTTTTAATTAAGAAATCGTTCATAATTTTTGCTGGTGTAGGGTATTTAAAATTTTAGGAAAAAAAAATCTTTTTTCTCTTGCACCCTGTATATGCAGAAAATTTAAATGTCAATCAAAATTCCTATCTCAAAGGCGTTTCTGAGGAATAAATGAAAAAAATGATTGTTAAAATGAGATTAGCCATTCACGAGAAAATCAATTTGAAAATGGAGACCATTTGAGTGTTACTTATCGACAATACTTATAGCTAAAATAAGGTCTTTTTTGTCCTTCATCAAAGATATTCGAGTTGGTTTTATCTCATAGTGTAATTTTGCACTAACTAACTGAAAAGTATGTACAGTGTGCGCCGATTTGCTAGGTCCCAGTCTACAGGGAGGTGGACGTAATTAGTATGAGTTACGATTTATCTAATCTAAGGAAGCATCTCCGAATAAAACCAACTCAGTATGAATAATAAAGTAACAGTAGCAATATGAATTAACAGACTGTAAGGTATTACTCTTTTAACTACTTTTGTTACAGTGGCAGTTGGTGAAAATTTAAGCTCAAGATTTGTACTGTACCACTTTTTAGGGGATGATTTTCACACTTACATACAAAAACATGTTCACAGAAAAAATTTCCACAAAATTTTTAATGTTTTCGTTCATTCGAATTGTGCGGGGATGCCCTGTCCTCTCGTCGTCGTGCATACTGTCTCGGCCATCACGAAACCTCACAAACGACAGGAAGAGTCGGACGTGATACATCCTTCTTACCGTACACTGTTTGTAATAGTTGCTACGTTTCCGTGGCTGTTTTATCGGCTTTAAAACAGAACTTGATTGTTGCACACTGTTCAATGTGCGTTTCAATGACAACTATAAAAAAATCACTTCATGCAAAACGGTATAACTTTGTGGTAGATACACGTATATTGATAAAATTTTGTGCGGTCGTTCGGAAGGCTTTCCACTAGGTAGTTCCGTTGACCGCACATAGATAGCGCCAGGTACTTCACTACAATAAAATCAGTCTTAAAACTTAATAATCGGACTGTGTACTTTAGTGAAAATAAAAAAGTACTATATATCTTCTGGATATACCACGGTTAGTGTAAATTTATAAGGATGGTTTAGTTTCTACCAAAATGAACATTAATTTGTTGTTCTATATTTAACAATTTTCGGAACCTCTAAAATGATACTCCCATGGAATCATATTCCTTCCATACCTTACCCAGGTTGAAAATAAGCCTACTATTATGGAATTGAAGTATAATTGTACCTATTTGTTTTAATTTGACACTAGGAAGGTCGGAAACGCCGCTAACGCAGAGTTGACCTTTCTTTCGGGTCTTTGGCTCTTGGGCCCCGCGGCATGAGCACCACTGCGCCGTGCTTTCCTCGCGGTTGGCAAATATAACATTTTTGGTACACCCTGTATATAAAAGTCATCAACATCGTAACTTCATAATTATCTCTGAACTGTTCGAAGTTCGGTGCAATATTTTTAGACATCCTGTATATAAAAACCTATTTGAAGTTATATTTTCTTCTTATAGAAAGATTTAAAATGAAAACTCCACAATGAAGGTAAAATGTGGCAGTAAGTAAAAAAAAAATTCTTAGGAATCCCGTACGAGATTCAAACCGTCGATCTCCGGATTGCAACGCCATACTTTTACCACTGAGCCATCATCGCCTCTAAATAGAGTTTGTTTGTAGCAGTATTTGAATCCCCGTTCATAGTTGAAGTAAACAAACATTTTTGTAGTGTTAAAAATTGCATTTTTCTACTGTAAAATCATCCACGAAGGACTCGGAACGGTATAAAACAAAAACAAACGCCTATCGCCGAACTGGCGCCATGGGGCAAGTGAGAATTGGAAATTCAGTTTTGACAATTCTGACATTTCTACCGCGGTGACAGTTTGTATCAAAATATTTTTAATCTAGTCTTAAATTTTGTTACATTTGACCTAATAAAGTTGAGGGCGATATAGGAGAGAACGTTGCGACGTGGCATTGAAAAAGCGTACCAGTAGCAGAAAGGGGACGTCGGGTTGTGGGAACTGCTCGTACGCAAAGACAAAGACTTTCCCACATCGAAAATTTGCCGTTTTCTCCGATGAGTCCCGGAAAAACGAAAATTTATCTAGGAAAACGCAGAGAAGCCTACACTGAAATACCCCTACGACACAAAGAAAGGACGTCGGGACGCTTCGCGGCTAGCGAAAAAAGCCTTTGATATTGTAAATTGGCCATTTTTCGAGATCCGTACGAGAGTGAAAACCACCTGCAGCAATTAATATGTCGGAATCAACATTCCATTTTCTAAAATCCAAAACATTGCATCTTGAATAAAACCTGTTTTGTATGCATCACTGATTACAAAAAAAAATTGCACCTATACATTTATTTCCTTTTGAGATTTTAGGGTATGTATTTATTTTTATTTCATAAATTTGCTTTGAGATTTCTACATGTCTTTGTGGGCTTAGAAATCATCCCCTAAAAAACAATACGGCTTCGTTAACAAAATATAACAACTACAACTAACTCATCAGCCGCCATTGCTTTGTTAATATTAATCTTCTATCAAGTACAAGCACACAGTATACTAGAGAGCAGGTAGATTAATGTGACACAAACACGGATCTAACTCAACTAAGACATAAAAAGTGCTAGACTAATCCAACCTCAGGTACCAATGTTAGTAATTCCGTGTGGCTTTAGATTTAGAACCAGAGTCCGAATAGGTGTAAATCAAGAGGAAGGAGAGTAATAGAAAAACCTGTCCAAATCGGTCTACCTTGCTCTCGTATTCTCACACCGATCAACGTCATCATCCCACCTGAAAGTCACCACACTGACTGCGGGTGGGTTGGCCGGCTGCGGCTGCGGTTGTGGCGGTGTCGATGTGCCCGTCGACTGATTGGACGCATCCACTTTGCCGTTCGACGTGCCCAGCTGAACGCCGGCGGGACTGCGGGGCTGGAAAGTGTGGACGATCTTTATGTTGTCTCGGAACTTAAGTAGTTGCTGGTGGACTTCGTCGTACGTTGAGGCGTCCACTATGAAGACGTCCACCATTTCGTCAGTCAGAAGTTGGCAAGAGTAACCGATGTTTATGGCAGTTTCTAAAAAGAAACAACAAATAGAGTGTTTATAACTAGCGATGGGCATTTGGAAAATTTTTGCACTCATTTTCGCAACACCCTGAATATTTATTTGTTCTTAATATAAAATATGCAGTGTTCGTTTTATAATTGTGAAAAATGATTCGAAAAAGGTTAAAATTACAAATTTTCTTGTACATTCGGTTCACCGTTATTAAATGAACCCACAGGCATACGTTAGCGAAGGTGGTGAACATATTCAAAATTTAATTTATAATATCGATTTCTTAAGTTTTAAATTAATCTGATTTATAAAATATTTCTTGGATCTATAAATAAATACACATTTTAACACTGTTTACCATAAACTACAGGTGAGTATTAGGCACTACAACAGCAATATGGCAGTTGTTTGAACCCATAGACCAAGGGTCGGCAACTGGCGGACCGCGGTCCAGGTCCGGACCGCGGAAGGTAAAATACTGGACCGCCAAAAATTTTTTGAAAGTATATATTTATTTAAATAAATTATTTAAAAAATGTTTTTTTTTTTACGTTTGAGTGCCAACCTTATCATTTTTTCTAGTATTTTACAATTGTGTTTTGAGTTTTTAATGGTTAGTAAGCAGATTAAATTTGGGTCCAAATTAAAATAAAAAATTTGTAAGAAATATTCAATATCAAAAATTTTCAAAAGTATCCGGACCCCACCTAAAATTACTTGCCGACCCCTGCCATAGACCATGATACAAAAAACAAGGTGTATGTTTTGGTTTTAGTTTAAGTAAGGTTATGTGAATACTGTGAATTGGTACTGCAGTGAATAGCAATCGAATATATCGTCATTGATCGTAAAAGGGCATAATCATCAAAATGCCACTCGAGTAATTTTTCAGGAAAAAAAATAAAGAAAAGCATTACAACCGTGTCTTTTGTGTTTTTTACAGTGTTAATTATGTACCAACATACGCGAATATAGGAATTATTTTTGCGGGGTCATGCCTACAGCGAGGTTCAACGGTCGTATGCACAAAATTTATTAGCAAAATTGCTTGGATTTTGCAGTTTGAGATAGTCTGGTCCAAATGTTCAACGGTGAAGCATTGTTCATCGTAATGGGAAATTTTCACTTTATTTTATTTCGGTATCAAGAAACACCAGGTGATCAGCTATTGGGGCACGGCTCCAACAAAATGATCACCAAATGAATACGTTGACTTTTCTAAAGACTTATTTTCAAGAACTCCACACTCCAGGTATAACAAAAAGAATCCGTTGTGAAATTTTCATTACACTTATATCGTATGCCAATGTTGGAAATACAGTGAACATAGGAAGAATTGAGATCGCTTAAATCGATAAACTGACGGTAAGCTGGCTCGGCCAGGTGACACCGTGTGGGTACTGTCCCACTACTTCCACTTTCGATGGGTTGTGCGTTAAGATCCAGGATCGGAACTTAAGTTCGAGTTCGGGTGTAACAATCCTCGACAGCATTGTTAGAGGGGTGGGTACACATCTCTGCAAGTGACCCATTTTAAGTCAAGAGGGTCAGCCTGACGCCACTCAGACCAGCTTAACATTTGCAAGGACAAAAAACAGACGAGGGACACAATAGGGTTCCGGAAAAGGTCGATGGCAGATTGGCGCCAAGGACTGTATACCTGCGAACGATTCTCCAGCGAACGCTCACTGCGACAACAAGTATTCTTTTTCAGTAACTTTCAATAAAAATACTTCTACTTTTACCATTGAGAGAGTTTTATTTTGCTGTACAGCGAAAGCAACCCTCGAGTGTGGATACACATGTTTGCAAGTGACCCATTTTAAGTATTACGTCAAGAGCGCCAGCCTGACGCCACCCGGACCGGTCTAACAGTTGCAAGGCCAAAACACAGACATGGGACGTAACAGGGTTCCAGAAAAGGTCCACGACAGATTGGCTTCAAGAACCGTATACTCCACAGCGAACGCTCGCCTCGACAACACGTATTCTTTCTCACTAATTTGTTTTCAATGAAAATACTTCTATTTTTACAGCTGAGAGTTTTATTTTGCTGCACAGAGGAAGCAACCCTCAGACGTATTTTTATAAAAAATACTCTAGCAATGCAACAAGACAATATAAATTGACAACAATATTATGCTTTCATTACCCAAAGGGTTTAATTCCAAAAGCGTCTGATCAATTTTCTTTTTGTTGCTCACGCTCATTTGTAAGACGAGCGATGATATGTTACAGCTTCAATTTAAACATTACCAATTGAGTATTAATTGAATATTTGAATATATTTTGTAGATTTGACAAGAATGAAAGGTGCTAACAACTGTCATACTGTTAGTTTAGCATGAGTCACAGTGGGAAATATGGGAAAAAATTCTACGCATTTGGCTATTTTAACCGTACACTGGTAATTTCTTTTTTTATTCTTCTTCAAATTTGCTTAATTTTATGATCCTGGTGTGATAATTAGATATATCTATATAGGAATTTATTAAATCAAGTCAGAACCCATCACCCTCACCAATGATAATTTGGTATTTAAAAAAAAATGAAAATTGTTATAACATTTGTAGGAATTGGAGCGCCGTGGGATGGTGAATTTGGTTCAAATTAAAGGCTTTCGTTCTATCTTCACACTTTTATTATGCAAAACTTCTTAAGCGCCCTAGCAAACTTACAAAAACGTGACCATAACCAATTGAAATCATAACGTAACTACTTCCACTTCACGTTTGCGTCAGTCGCTACGCATGCGCACCACCGTTCTAGTGTCTAAAGCCACCACCAGGCCCGATCAGGCGGCAGTTTCAAACCCGGCTACTACACATTAATAAAAATTAAAAGTAGAAAAAAACAAAAAAAAAGAAAAAAATTAAAATTAAAAATTTAAAAACAAACCCTTTAAAGACTACTACCCCGACACGGTAAAAGGGATTAAGTCTTATATAAATAAAGATAACAAAATGCAGTCCATCGAGTAATTTCGATAAATAATATAGATTTTGAGTGAGAATTGTTGAAATTTTTACAATTTATCGACTGAAATTTTATATATCTAAATATCCACTTATTTTTTGTGAATTTAAGAATAAGTTTCAAGGGGTTGTGGCTCGGTTTGAGGTTAGGTTTTTATGGACATAGTGTAGGTTTGAGGCTTCAGAAACAGACAATATTAGCTCCAGAATAGTTTTCAATGAGTCACATTCTTTGGTTTGAAAAATATCTTTCGTTTGACTTTCTAGCCCAGATTTCTTGGATTTGAGGTTAAATATTTAAGAATAGAGATTAGGGGATTCAAAAATAAAAAATATAAGTTCAAGAAAATAGTTTTCAAGGATTTTTATTCTTTGGTGTGGAACATATTATACATTTTATGAATTTCTAGCTAAAATTTTTATAATTTCAAGTTGGGTTTTGAGAGTTTGGGGTTATGTTTTGAAGGATTTAAGGTTAGATTTTTATGGTTGTAGGTTTATGGAGTTAAAAATTATAAGCTCAAAAATATAGTTTTCAAGTAATTATATCCACAGATTTATAGATTTAGAAAATAGTCAGTGTATTACTTTGAGGTTATGCTTTCGGGTTAAGGTTTAAGTTTGAAGAGTATCGCAAAGTTGATTATTTTCGTTGTTTAATCAACCTCGAATACGAAATATGTGATTTTTCTATTTTTAAATACCGAATTATTATCTTTGGTGTTGAAGCTGATGGGATCTCACTCGATTTAAAAAATTCCTATATAGATATATCAAATTATCGCATCAGGATCATGAAATTAAGCATACCTATTTGAAGAATAAAAAAAGAAATTACCACTGTACGGTTAAAACAGCCGAGTGCATAGAATTTTTGCCCGACCAAGTTTGCATCTGAGAAGTGCCATATCTACATGTTACAATTGTTTGGAAAACGATACATGGTCGCCACAGAGCAATGACAGATTTGTTTACACACGGAAATGAAGGACAAGTACCAAATATTATGAAAATCTGAATCTGCGCAATCTTTATCAAAAATTAGGTTAGGAAAGGAGAACAAATTAGGTTAGTTTGGGTTAAGTTGTATTAGTTTGGGATCAGATAACATAGAACAGATTAGATTTGTTTATGTTCATTTGTTTCTTGCAAAGACATAGATCTATACCCAAATTTCACAATTTTTGAGAGACTGACCTAAAACTGCAGAATTGTATTCGGGCGGTCAAAATTTGGGTGTAAAACGAAAGTTATAGAGGAAAATTTATTATTATTACAAATTCCAATTTCCCTAAACCAAAGGAAAACTAACTTACCTTGTTTATCACCTGTAAGCACCCATATTTTTATTCCGGCTAGAATGAGATTGGCAATTGTCAGAGGAACTCCGTCCTGTAGTTTATCTTCGATCGCGGTAACGCCTATAAGCTCCATTTCCGTTTCGATTTCTTCATATATCGCGTCTAACCTTTCCTCTCTACCATCCAGGGCGATGGCTGCCTCTTGGTGCCGCTGCTTCCAGTCGTTGAAGAATTCCTCATCCAGATCTCTCGATGCCAGGCAGAGAGTTCTCAGACCTTCGCCGGCAAATTTCTGTGCAAATAAATACTTAATAAATTCATTCTTACATTTACGAAAAAACTTACGTTAAGGTGTTCCTGTGTTTTCTGCTTGATTTCATCGTTCCCGCTTTTAAGTCTCTCGTATATAACGTTGTCCGCGCCTTTACAGTACAGCCGTAGAATCCCGTCCTTCCGCAATATCACGGACATGCGTTTCCTCACGTTGTTAAAATCCAGGATGCAAAGAAGCTCATAAACCTCCTTAACGCCCATAACCTCAATGGTAATACTGTTTGGAGCCCTCTCAATAAATACAAAACCGAAATTGCGAGCGGCAGACACCAAGGCCGCCTCGTCGGGCGATTGCGCCTGGTATTCGAGTTTTCCCTCCCTGTTCTCTGACATGACGGTGTGGCATAGCGCCAACAGACGGAAGAAGCTGAAAGTAGCAGGGTCTTTCCGTTTCACCGCATCTAGTAGTTGCGTATCGTAGAATTTGAACTCCGGTTCGAAGTTTGGATTGAAGGAGAAATCCAAGGGTTCGGAGTTCTCGGTGATCTCTACAACATCCCCTGTTCTTTGGTCGATTACGTCGCCGAAGGACCGGCCCCCGATAGAACACTTGTTGAATGTCATAATGTTCTGAGTAAGCGTACCGGTTTTGTCAGAAAAGATGTATTCTATTTGGCCTACAAAACACGAAATTACACTTAACGGTGTTAAGAATGGGACACATCTTAATGGCAGATTCTGGGGTCAAAATGGGACGAATGAATCAAGCACATTTGAATCTATTTGAACTAAATTATTATTAAAGTTTAATTATGCTGTGAAACGTGATTTCAAATAATTTTATATAATTGTTGTTTACTTCAGTTTCGTCTAATTTCAGTAATTTAAATCAGGTTGTAAATTAGAGGTTAGGCTTAGAGCACATAGGTTAGGACTGGGTCAATTTGAGGTTAAGTTTGGGGTGCGCAGGTTAGGACTGGATCAATTTGAGGTTAGGTTTGGAGTGCGTAGGTTAGGACTGGGTTAACTTGAGGTAGGCTTAGAGTGCGTAGGTTAGGACTGGGTCATTTCGATAAATGCTCTATATAGATAATGGGTCGTGGTTTATATTTAATAACTCACCTAATTCTTCATTAAGTGTGGTAGTCCTGGCCTTAGCATGTGTGCCAGTCTTGTCGTAGTACATCTGCTCATCCCAGTTGATGAGGAAACTTTGCACAAACCGAATGACCTCGACGGACACGTAGAGGGATATCGGCACCACCGTGTTGAGCACGATGGCATAGGAGAAGAATACCAACAGGGCTATTATGGTGGCACCGCCCAAAGGCTCTAAAGGCACTAGAGTGTCCCATGGTAGGAATGTTTGAAAGTACTGACCCACCAAGGACTCCCAAATACCGCACGCCACCATACAAAAAAGGCACATGGACAATAAAAAAAACACTATCTGCAAGAGGAAAAAGTAAATTCAATTACACATATTTTTGGAATTACTGTTATTTGTTCAATAATAATTTTGCTTGAAAGTTGAACAAAAAAGCACATATTACGCTATTACGCGCATATTAAGCAATATGTTTTAACAATTTTTATTACTATTAATTTTAAGTATCACTTTGCAGTTTCAACAGTTTTGGTTTTTTTTATACACCCTGTATGACTTGACGAGAATTAAGGAAGATTTTTAGAAGTAACGTGAATCAGCTTAATGCATTTAAAGGATCACATAAACATGTCATGTTAAAAAAATATAAGCACTTACCCCTATAATTAAAAAGTTAAGGAGTCTATCTATACTAGTGCGTTTGAACTTGCTCTTGCCGCTGTTCTGCATGAGTTTGGTGTCTTTGCCAGCAAAAATCACCACTCCGTAGCACCATTGTGTGTTCCTCAGCACGCAGCCCCTCAGCATGATCTTGTCGTTGTCCAGGGAGTAAGACTTGCCCTTCCAGATGAGCACCCCCTCGAACTTGTTCAACAGATTGTTGGGGGTCTCGCACAATATCTCGCCATCGAATTCACTGAGTAGGAGGTCGTCCTGGCCCATCTCGGCCGTCTCCACCAGACACTGGCGGCATTTCAGATTGGTTTCTCTGTAATAATTAATTGCAAATAGAACGTTTAACATAATGTGGTCTTTTATGAGATTTACCCGTCCAATTCTGACGTTTCAATGTAACACAAGCCGTTGGGTTCACTAGACGTCAACAGTAGCACGTCGGCCGCTATGAAGGAGTTATTGTCCATGCGGATGATGTCCCCGACTTGCACTGCCGACCATTTCTCGTTGACGAGTTTGCCTTTACGGGCGACGCGGGACTTTCTGTTGTTGACTTGCGAGTCCGATATATGACGTTGCTGGAATTGACATATTCAAATGTTACAAAAGATGAATGACCTATTCGAATTTACTTCTTCTATCACTAATAAATGAACCAATATTGGATTTTAAACAATTCATTACTCAATACAGTAAAACCTTGCCGTTAGCGGATTTGTGGTTCGTGGATTTAAATTTATGAGGTAGTCATCGATGCCACCTTTTCTTTGCCGTTTGCGGTCCGAATTTTACACATAATTCTACAGATGAAAACCTGATTATGAGAAACCATAAATAATCATAAGTGTACATACGCAAGAACTGATACATAACAAACACTTGGCCTTGTCTCAATTCATCAATTTTCGAGGATAGCATAAACACACTTGAAGTAATATATTTATTGCTTTCTCGATAATAGGGTCCAAAGCAGGGCATATGTATGGGCAGCTTTTAAAGTTCTTGGTTGACAATTGCAACGTTTAAGGCTTACTATACCAGACGTAGTTTTTTTCATATTTTGCACCCTTTGAAAGAAAATCCAGAAATATCTGTTAAATAATGCTGGAACTAATTTACTATTTTAAATGCAATAGAAAATGTTGGTGCTTCCTGGGCAAAGGTGAAATTGTCAACCATTAATGCTTGCTGAAGAAGCTATGGCCTCAGTATGTTCAGGAAGTGCAGTAGAACCAGATTCACAGAGAGAAATTGAAAATATTGTAGAAATAAGTAGACAAGTGGGGAGGAAAGGTTTCGAAAATATAGAGGCCGAAGATGTGGAGAATTGATTTGAAATGAAGACGATGGTCTCACTTATACAGAAATTGAAGAACTATTCGAGAACACTTCGTTTTGAGTTTAGAAGAGGATGAAGAACAAAAAGTGTACAAGGAGTGTTAGACAGTTTAAAACGTGAGAACATTGAGATAGATCCAGATATGCAGAGGAGTATGGTTATTAGCAGAGGATTGGATAACCTCTTTTCACCATACAAAAACTTTTAAAAGAATTGAAAAACCATCAAATTCAAAAAACAATGACATACTTTTTCCAGAAGGGGTCTATCCCAGAATCTGTACCACCAAGTACATACATATTAAGTTTGTAAGTGTTTAAGTGTTTTTGTTTCCGAAAACTCATTTGCCTTATGTTTTAAAATCGATTCAATGTATGCTAACCTTTAACAATCATGAAATTCAAAAATCATATGCATGCGGAAACATATAAATGTAGTATCTTGGATTTTGTTCCAAAATAAATATACATAAACATATAAATAACTGAATTATGTTTCTAATATTTAATTCTGTTTTAAACATTAACAACAATGACTTGCGCACCGCGGATTTGCGCTTCGCGGGAATTTTCTGGAACCTATCCCCCGCGAACGGCAAGGTTTTCCTGTATCTCGATATTCCTATCTATAATACCACAATAACTAAATTAATTTGAATAGTCTTTTGCTACAAATTGACATATATCCGCCATTTTGGGGCAAAGGCAAGAACATTGATTGCGATATTTGGTCAACCTAGGATTGCAGAACAAAAATTTTTTTTCCAAATAAATCTAAAATATTTGGTCGATAAAACCAGTCTAAAATCTAGAAAAAATCAATTTTTGGATAAATGGTTTAAACAATGCTTTATTACATGAAGAATATAGGAAAATAGTTTTGGGTTCGGAAAAAAATCAGGATCACGTTTCTTTTTTTCAGGTGGAGCGCAACCACTCGGGGTTCTCAGGTGTGTTTATTGTGAGAAGATGAGCGAGTTTCAGATCAAGCCGAAAAGAAGAGAATGAAGAAAATATCAATATAGAAGGCCAATTATATGGTGCAGGCATCACTAATTGAAGGTTTAAACATAACTCAAAAAGCTTTCAATGAATCGACTTGAAATTTTGTACAGGGCTTCATAATAATATAACTCAAGGAAAATCCTAGGGGTTTTTCGACTGATTAACCCTTTCACTGCTCCAGACGTATATATTCGCTAAAAATTTATAGGGCTCAAACTGGTCCAGACGGATTAATTCGCATGAATAGTTAAATTGGATCAGGCTGCTCAAACCGTATATATTCGCAACCATGCGCATTGTGACTCGGTTATTGCAATTGGTAAGGCGAATTTTTGCGGGCGAGCTTATACCGATTGTGACAAATATTTTTATGGAAAGAGGTACTGGTAATAATACCAAGATTGTTCATGTTTCTTTCAGTTTCTATTTAGTACATATACTGTACAGGCCCGGATCCAGAGATTGGTTTTGGGGGTGGCGCAAAGCACTTCTTTATCATTATTATTATTATTATTATTGTTGTTGTTGTTATTTTTTTGATGACGTAAGGTGTAGGTTAGGAAGGGGACTTGCATTAATATCAACTAACTGCCTGTTGTCATTTGGAGAAATTGAAGATCTTTAGAAAATGTTGTGCTTTGGGGGTGGCGATCGCCACATCGCCACCCCCTCTGGATCCGGGCATGATACTGTATTTTATTCAAAATAAAATCGTAAAATTTATCGTAAATCGTAATTTAACACAACATAATGTAAAATTATAAGTGGTCTAACTGCTCCAGACGTATATATTCGCACGCGATAAACTTTCACTCACGACGCGGTAGCTACGTTCAGACGTATTGCGCAGCGAACGGGTTAACAATTTTTATTGTTATTAATTTAATGCAACATTTTTCATCTTTTTTGATACTTACTGTTTTTAATGTTCACTGAATCAACAATTATTTATTTTTTAATTTCCTTACGATGTTCCCTAGCTTTTAGTATATATCAGAAAATTTTTGTTTTTTTTGTTCCGAGACTATCTGTTAATAACAAACCTTTCCAGCCATATGGCCCTCTGAAAAAAAAAGATGCCACCACTTACAGATACCATTTTAAATCCAAATCGTCCGACAAAATTCACAATAATATCTGAAAACATTTACAATACAGCTATTTTGTCCCCGACATTATATCTTGTATAGATTTTTCCTTGAAAATTCCCAAAAATCATCTTTTTTTCCAACCCCTTAAATGAAATTTGGTATACCATTACTTGTGTGACGCCACTTTTTGACATAGTAACTGAAGTAATTGCATTTACAGAACTGGGAAAACTACATATATTTCTAGAAAATATGCTGACATTTTTTTGGAAGGTGCCTTTCTGTTTTCTCCTTCTTGTAAATTTTTTGAGTACCATTCTTGCTTAATTAATTACTTTGTTATCATTAATACAGTTTTGGTACAAATATGATTATGATTGAAAATTTAATTTAGTTGATAATAAAAAGAAAATTATTAAATATGGACACAATATTCGAAATACTATAATAAAGTAAAAAAAGGTACACCAAAAAAAAAAAAAATTATGTACTGCCTCTAATGTTATCTATTTAATCACAAAATTAAATTTTTGGGTAATTTTTGGAGGAAGAAATTATTAATACTAAGTTTAATCCAAATTGTGAGTGGTCAAAAATATCATTTATTTCTATTTTAATTTATTATAATTCTTTTCAATTTTTTGGCACATCATCCAATATTACAAGCACATATTGATACATGAAAAGGATACATGGGGATGACCCAAACAAATTAATTTATAAGGGTATAAGAAGTGACTAATGGAAGAATCCCCATACTTCCCCTATTATTTGATAAAAGTGATGAATCATAAAATTATTTCAATCTTAAATACTATAATATTTATAGCGGATGAAATTGATGATTTGCATAATTTTAAACTGTACCTGATGGATTAATTAACTAGTGAAATGTGATAACTACTGAATAACAAATACTGTCATTTACAAAATGAGTAATGTTTTATCTGTAATAAGCATTTATAAAATTGAATTGGCGACTTGCCAATGTAGATATCTGTTAAATAAAATATTATTCAAGTTTTTTGAAAAATTGGAACGGCTTTGAAATAAATTTAATTCTAACAGGAATAAACAAATTTATGCAGGGAAAGGGATTAACATAAATATTTTGATAGTACACTTACTATGTCGTCGTAAGCATCTTTAATGGCAGTGAGTCCCAATACCCCCATCAAAGGTAACGCTGTGGTAACAGGCGTGAGACTGCTGATAGCGGGTATCAGCTGCAGGACGAGAAGGCACAAAAAGTAGAAGTTAGCCAGACGCTGGAACTGTTCAAACAAGTTCAGAGGCAGGAACGTCAGTATCGAATACTTTGAGGTCTTTATGTAATTGCTCTGAAAGAAATTTGAGTAATAAAATACAGAAATCGACCACATCAAACAAATCAGTGACAAAATTTATTCATTATCTCGGATATGGAAAATGGAAATATATTTTCCGGTTTTTAATCTATAACAATAATTTTTAATTTATCTATTATATTAAAATTTGATTTTATACATTTATTGTTAGTAATAGCGAAAACTGAAGGTCTACAAAGGTTCTACTAAAATGAACTGAGGGGTCAATGACAGTAGCAAAACATTTTGCAGTGGTACAATTCCAATTCTATAAATAAAAAGTACTTACAGCGTAACGAAACTGGGAGTTGAATACTCTGTCATTTGCATGGATTCTCCTTTGATTATCTGAAACAAAAAATTGTTGGTTAATTCTATGATTCTAAAATGGATATTCCTCGGATATCATTCACAACCAATGTGAACTTGGCAACCAATTTGTTTTCGCGTTAAGTTAGAAGCCAATTTAGCAGAAATTCTTTCAATTTCGGGTGAAGCGGAACATGGGGGGGCCCTAAACTTACCGTGTTATAAAGTCATTGCTGTGAATGCGAAGAAAAATATTCTTTACGACTAGAAAGTAAGTAGACTGAGATACTTGCTTGTAGATATTGAATAAAATCGTGTTTAAAATACTTAAAATGATATATTTCCATTCCTCAATTATTATTCTTTACCTAATATGCAAAAATAAATGCCAAAAGTTGCAACAGAAACTTGGTAACAGTGCACGAGTATTATTTGTAAGTCGGCAGTCCTTATCATGTACATAATGCTGTGATCGCTGAATGCATTAACCTATAAAATATCGGACGAAGTCGATAGAAAGGGAAGTTTGTTACCAAAAGAAAGTATGAGTGCTTGAGAATTAGAACAGAAAATAGCAAAAGCAGGAAAAAAGCTGTTGAAGAGAAGATTGTGGAGCCAGAACCTCCGCACACCCTTCGAGGGTATCAACTAATCCACATAGAGTACATGGCACAATGCATGTACTGCTCTTTTTGCAAAGAACTGTTATGTAATTCAGATTATCTACAAACTGTGATCACGAAGTGATTCAAATGGAAAAGTTTAAATATGATTTAGTTACATGCATAAGTAGCGTACTACTATGACGCACTTCTGTGAATACAAATGTTTCTTATAAGACAAGGGTTTAAAGCGATTGTATTTATGAAAGTATAATACGATTTGATATATGTAGTATTATACTGAGATACGATGGTATTACAGTCAAAAGTATTCTAAAAAATATATTGAAATTATTGAAATGTTAATTTTAAGATGAAAAATGATATTAAAACTGTCATAATTTATCAAAATGTTATATGTATGCCGAGGGGCGATCCGCTAAGGAAAAAACGTACGAAGATTACAAAATTTCTGAAATCTCTTGTAATGTATCTGCAGATTTCAATATCAATTCAAAAAAGCTTAATCAGAATGTTACAATTTTTGCCCAAAAACTTCCTGTTACTAGAAATTCTTAATCAAAGTACTATTGTTAATGAATGAAATGAATAACATTTGAAGTTAATTCAATTAGTTTTGTTCAAATGGACATTCAAAACTTATTGTAATCTTCCCGTATTCCTTGAAACCTTATTAAGAAATTTTGAAATCTTCTTTTAATTTCTAATAATCCTATTGAAATCTTAAATAATCATTGAAATCTACTAAAATAACTGAAATCTCCTGAAATGTTTTATAATCTGTTGAAAGATATTGTAATCTTGATTTTTATATGAAATTTGTAATCTTTTTTGAATTGATATGGAAATCTGCAGATACATTACAAGAGATTTCAGAAATTTTGTATCTTTGTATGTTTTTTCCTTAGCGGATTGCCCTTCGGAACACACCAATCACACTATATAGGTTTCTGTCTAGGTTTCTGTGGCATCCTTTGGAAATTGAGGTAGGGGGGGCGTTGTATAACGACTACATCGACGAAATTCGTTAGCTGATTACACAGATTACAGCGAGGATTACAGATAAGATTACATAGATTACAGATAGATTACATAGATTACAGATAAGATTACATAGATTACAGATGAGATTACGTAGATTACAGATACAATTTCATAGATTTCAATTTTAAAGAGATTCTTAGATGATTACAAAATTTCAAAAAGATAAATATTAAAACGTCTTAATTACACGGAGATTGCAAAGATTTCAGAAACGATTACATAAGATTCCAGGGCAAACGTACGAAGATTACATCAGCGGATCGCCCCTCGATGTATGCATATTTCCTATAAGAAGCTATGTTAAATATTCAAATTATTGGCATTAATTAAAACAAAAACAAATCGATAAACAATTCGAAAATAATTCTAAGAATTTGATTTCGCATTGTAAAGGTAATAAATCTCAATAATACGAAATTGGTTGCATTTTTTCGTAACCCGGTCCTTCTTAAATAACTTTTTTCACAATGTTCCGAAAATAGTTGAAGAATCCTACAAGGCACAATGTAGTTGCTAAAGACATGCAAATAACTGTCTAGAGTGGTATTTACTTGAGCCCCGTAGAAAATACCCTCATTCCAGAAAATTTAAATATTTTTACAAAATTCTAAAAACGCAATGCAACCAGGTGCAGTGTAGTTGAAAAAAAGCATACATATAACTGCCTAGAACCATATTTACTTGCACCCCGTTGAGAAGTAGATGAGATTCTCACTAAAGAAACTTTAATTCATTTTTTCACAAGGTTCTAAAAATAGTTAAAATGCGACTAAGCACAATATAGTTGCTAAAGGCATGCACATAACTGCGTAGAGTGGTATTTACTTGCATCTCGTCTGAGGGGTAGAAATTACCATCACCCAAGAAATTTTAATTAATTTTTTTCCCAAAGTTTCGAAAATAGTTACACAATGCTACCAGGTGCAATGCAATTGCTAAAGGCATGCATATAATGACGTAGAGTGGTGTTTATTTGTGCCCTGTCCGAGGGGTACAAACTACCCCTCAAGCTACCCTCACCCCAAAAATAGTTAAACAATGTGACCAGGCGCAATGTATTGCTAAAAACATTTGCATAATCATCTAGTGGTATTTACTTGCGCCTGCTGACTAGGTATTTTGGCTGCCAAGTTCACACCAGTTCATTGGCAACCCAAATTAATTTTTATTGAAGCAAGAAATAAAGTAAAAAAAAACAGTTTTTTTATCTAATTGAATACAATAATGATAACGGTTAGTTATAATAGTTCGATAGATTTGGAAAATATATTTTTTAAATTTCAATTCTGAAATTGTTTTATTATAAATTCAATTTGTACATTATACATATTTGTATTATTAATTTCCATACTGTTTTTTAGTTTTCTTAAAAAATGTATTTATATTTCCTCTTTTACATATCTTTGCGGTTACTACTAACCAGAAGTATTTAAAACCCCATGAATCACAAACTGTATAATAAATTAACAATAACCTGATAAGCAAATATTAAATTTTATCGCATATTTCACTTTAACCGCTTTTTATAGCAGTTTAATGTTGATTAAATTAAAATAATATATAATCATTTTGTGATCAAGATAAAACACGTGCCTATCTATGTTCTTTTGATACAAAATAGTTCTGACTTGAAATGATTTAAAATAACTAAAATCATTTAACCTTTTGCCTAAATGCAGTTGGTTCAAGGTTTTAATAATTAAACTGCTTGATTCTATTTTTATCTTTGATTACATAGGCATACGATTATTTACAGTTGGTTATTATTTGTAACAGGCTGAATTTATGTAACTAAATATGTAAGCAGCAACATATTAGTTAAATATTTATAAATTGTTTTAACAATGTGAACTGCTGATTCAATTTTATATTTTAGTCAATAAAAATAAAATGAAAAGGCAAGTACTATTTACAGATACTGTACAAGAGGTGTCAATAAATAACTTCTGCTATCTATAATTAAAAAAATATGTTTTCCTAGAAATAAAATCATTGGTAAATTCCGTTGAAATCATATTTTAAATATGTATAATGAATTCTTAAGGAATTGAATTCCTCAGTTTACTAGGTTAGGTGCATTTAGCATTAGAAAATATTGATAGGTGTAACAATCTGTTTTGTTAAATCTATTTTCTATAAATTCGTGAAACATTTTAGTATATCCATTAATTAACTACATAATAATAATCTTTAAAATTTTTAGAATTCAATAAAAACAGTAAATTGTTGAAACCATTATATCAGCATATAGAAATGGAAGGAAACAAGAATTATACAAATTTTTTGTTCAAATTGCCGAGGTAACTCACCACATGGTACATAGCCCTTACGGAAGTCTTTGGAAGAATGAGGTGAATCTAGTTTGTCAGGAACAGTGGTCTGATACCTTCTCTGGTCCCTCCATACTACGAGTTTACTAAAAACACTAAGAATGGATTCCCGAAGGCTCAAATGCCTGCGGTCACTACCAACTACACTGGTCTTGGACCTACTTATGTCATTATCGGTGCTCTCGATATTTAAAACGGTCGTTTTTTGTTTCTGCTTGCACTTTTTCCGTGTATGCTTTAAATGCCTCTTACTCTTGGAAGATTGTTGTTCACTGTCATCGTAAACTTCAAACACTTCCAGTTCATATTCCATTTTGGCGAAAGTCTTTGTAGACGTATCATTTATTAAGTCTGTACTAATGTAGAACTTTTAAATAGGTGAAGTATTCGAGTTAAAGCCAGACCAATTTATACAAACATTTTACCACGATGCAAATCAATTGATATTTATATCCTACTGACTAGCTCGCTTCACTGAATTCATACTTATTATTGTAGTAATACTAGGCGCGTTTACATCGTTCAATTGCGATAAACAGAACACTATTTAATTTACATTACAAATGTGTCAAATTTGTCATGCGAAATACTTTCGCCATATTGACAGAGGTAAAGTAGGCCTCTTTACCAACGTTTACCAGCTAAGGCCTGCGTTAAAGTTGGGTTGGATGAAGATAGAGGGCTCTAAACGAATTGGCAATAAAATCCTTGTTTTGAATTAATGAATACGTAATTATGCTTTCAAAAATGATAGTTGAAATAGAAACATGTTATTTAAAATAACTTATTTGTTTTATAGGCTTAAATCGAATTTTTCTAACATTTTGGCCTACATGGGGTAGGTGTTGCAAATCGATTACAACTGATTTCTTTTTTACTAAACTAAAGTGAAGTCCACAATGTTTTGGATTAGATTCAGAACAATATCAATAAATACTTACATTTTATTAACAGCACGCGTATAAAATATGAAATGGTCATTGGTCATTATTAGAAATGAAATTATCACGTGTGATTTAGGTAGGTATTCGTTTCTTTAATT